TACAGCTCGTCCACAGTTTCTTGTATTAAGCTTCAAAGAAGTAATAATGAGCGACTTTGTACTCACAAGTAAAAACTGGATACACCTTAGGCCTGATCGAGGCCAAATCCCTGTCCATTTGTTTGCATGCCATAGCTGGAATACACGTGTGTTCAAGGTTGAAAGTCACGTGGAATCTTGTTGCAGTGGGCTGGGTAATGTCTGTCTCTTATACACATCTAGATGTGTATAAGAGACAGGTTTATTGTCATCTCACCTAGCCTATTGTTTCATAAAATGTTTCAGAATGAAATTCTCACTTTATACTAGCTAGCTTTCTCTACCTATACCTATTATAAATGTATATATATATATATATATATTGCCTTTTAATTTATATATAATGATATATAGGTATATGGTATATATAATAAAATAAGCCTTTCGTGTGACTTTGCATGCAAGGTTGCATTTAATGATCATACATTTCTGGCCTCGATTTCCCTCGCAATTCACTGGCTATTTAGACCCGATTAAATCAACATGACAATATCATATACAATTTAATTTGTGTTTACAATTTTACCTTTCTTGTGTATTAACTTGTGATGAATAATGAAAAGAAAACCAAATAAAGACAAGAATGAAAAAGAACATCATAACTAATTTGGACAACTTTTTTTTCAAGAGATTATCGCGTGAACGAAGATTTTCATTATAAATAAGTAAAGAAGCAGCTGAAAGATTTCTTTTATCATTAATTGACGTTTATTGATTCAATTGTTTATGAACAACTGTTTATTTCTTGAGATAACGACTTATTGCCGACAAACGTTAAAAGCAACTGGAGTTTTATTTGAACTTAAGCTACTGTACATCAGAGTTATTTATTTATTTATTTTATTTTTTAGTTAGTTTTATAATAACAAACTTGTCTACGGTATTTTTTTCTTTTTTTTGCAACGTTAAACCACCTAGGTCTAAACTGTAAGTCACTTAAATCTTGGTGTAAGGGTGATTTTCAAACTGAATTTAGCAACTCTGGATCCGATCATGAAATATCTGGATTTATAACTTTAAGTTTATTCATGGCCATGTATTCAAATTGATTTTATGTGCTTTTTTTTATTCTGATCGTCAATATTTCGATTTCTTTTATTCTGATCGTCAATATTTCGATTTCGTCATTAAAACACGAATTTGCTTGATTAGCTACCGATTCTTTTAAATATTCCTTGTTAAATAATTTCTTCTCTTATAGGAATCTATTCCTGTTTGTAAGATAACACTCTGTATATAATCTTAAATCAGTCGCTTTTGCTCTTCGGTACGGTCGTATAATAATGCAATTTTAATTAATTGACAAATGTTTAATATAATATTTTACTATAGGCCTACTCATTTATACTTTATTTTATCTATAACATTTTAGAATTTTATATTTATTTATATACTGAACCTAACACTAGTTTATTGTTAAGGGTGCATAGGAGTTCCATTGATAGTGCTAGCACTCTTAATGTATAGTTTCTTTAGAAATTAAATGAAATATAAAAAGTGCATCCTTATGCATTTTTCTTATGAATAGTGGCGCTGAACATTATTTTTTGTTTGTTCTACAAGACAAATACACCAATGTTATCAAAGAGTTACAAGAATCTGGACTGCGAGAAGTTAAGAAATGGGTTACACATCAGTCGCCAACGAACGAAGAGATCCACGAGCTCTTCTCTTTGTATGACACATCAAGAGATGGCCAGATCAGGTACGACGGGGGTCTAGATGATTAGCTTGGTTTTGCCCTGCCTAAATAGATACAGTAGATAACTTTATTGTCCTTCTCGTAAATATAAAGCAGGAAATTCATCTTCAATTGGCAAAAATGCTTTAAAAATTATTATACCCACATGTAAAGATTAAAAATAATGTATTAGGCCTATTATGTATAATATTAAATTATAAATTACGAGTTACAAGACAAAAATTCATTGAAAATAATTATTGTCAAATAGAAAAATAGATTGAATTGAATATAAAAAAGTAATATGTGCATTATTAAAATATGTTTAAAACCATTAAATTTCATGTTATATATTGCTAACATTAAACAATTATTACTAAGCGCCTTGAGCACTTTAGTGGAGATGTGCGCTTAATAAATCTTATTATTATTATTATTATTATTACAACGAAAATATATTATTGTTTAATTATCAACACATCAATGTAAGCCTATCGTTTACATCTCTATTTATACTAATTTAATTTAGGCATGCTATGTACCCATGATCATGGCTTAACAAAGGGGTCCTGACTAAGGTTTCTTCGGGGCATTCTACCCCACCCGCATCGATGCGTTCATTTTAAAGAAGTACAGTAGAATTCCCTTCGGGACCAAAAAAGCGTTCCCTTTATAGGAGTATCCCCTAAATGTAGGCCTATGAGGCTGGTACAAATATCTCGGACCCTTTAAGGCATGAGAATCACTCTGCCTGGCTTTGGCCAGTGAGACCTCATTTCTTACTCCACTGCTCAGTATCAGATGTTGCGCCAGTGGAAGCCGTTGGGGGACAAAACAATTGAATAGGCCTATGTAATTTCTGTAGTTTATACGAGACTCTAAAATTGATTAAATAAGCCTTGGGTAGTCTTTCGTGGGTTCTGGCATCACCTGGCCAAAAAAAAAAACACGTTTGTTGTCATTGGAATCGGATCTCACGTCCGGCAAACCCTGGCGCACCCCTGTTCAGGATATGAAGGAAAGGTTGAGTCTTTCTATGTTGTTTATTTTACAGTCGATATGAACTCCATGCAACCATCGAATATTATTTCGGTCCGTTTCCTTCTGATGAAGTTCAACAGATAATCAATCGATACGACACCGACGGTGATTCCTTTGTCAACTATCGGGGTATGCGTTCACTAATAAGGAGATTTCGCAACCTTACGAAACTGATAAGAATACCAACGTCATTATCATTACCATCATTCGTGCTTTAAACATTCTTGCCAATACACTGTACGAACTGAATATCTTTGAATTATGTAAAAGACATGAATCGCCTACGTTGTGACAGGTACGTTACTGTAGGTGAAAATTTGATGACGTAGCCGTATTCGTTATCGTTTTCATTAGCTTGCGAAAACTTCCTAATAAGGAAAAGGTCTTACTCGATGTAATTTGATGAAATATCGTAAAACTTCTAATAAAAACCCAGTACTCTACTCTATTATTATATCCCATGCTCTGATACAACCACCTTAATTCAATATCCACTGCTCTAATATTTTAACCAATTTAGGTTATTATTGGAATGCCAAATTCATACGTTGTAGGTCAAATCAATCTGTCGCTTAAAGGTGTTTCTTATTTATTATTTTTTTTCAATATCCATGTAAACTGCAACTGCTTACCGTATGGGATTCGGAAATCAGGTTGATTTTTTTGACTTAAATATATGTAGGCCCTAACTGCCTAGAAACGGTAAAACCATATAACGAGTCCAGGCCGGGAAAATTAGGAAAGGGAGAGTAATCGATGCGATTTGTGTACTATTTTGAGGGGCGGTTATTGAATTTCTTTTTTGCTCTAGTCGTCCCTGATCATTGTTTTTAAACGTTTGTCTGAAATTCAATGTGTTTTGGTCGAATAAAAAATGAAGTCCAGGACCGGACCTATAAAATCTTGGGTTTTCTACCATCAATCACCACATACATTTTATTTGAACTATATCAATGGTATAAACACATCTTGGTACGTTGAAGTTTAAAAAGTGGCGTTTTCAAACATCATTCGGATTTTGTGCTTTCCAGAGTCTCATATAAAAGCATAAAGCCAACCCTAGATTTTTTTTGACTTGTGATTGGTCTAGCCTGGGGGACACACACTTGTTTTGGCCTTAATATTGTTATTATAATTGAATAAAAGGTTGATAAGTTAAATATGAAATGGATATTAAAATTATAATTAAGTTCAACTTGATTTTGCAGAGTTTGCAGAGATGATAAGAAATGAAAACAGAAAGTAGACACTCGGTGTCCGACGGACCTGGTAGCGCCTGACCGTAAATCAATGCAACAACTATCATAGTCTAGGCCTATTTAAGTTTTGCTGTGCGTTTACCAGTAGGCATAGGGCCTATTTTAAAATACATGAAAACAAATTTTAATTTGTTATTCCGCTTTTTGGCTGAGTTTTGTCCCTATAAATTTATTTAAAATGTATTGGTAAGAGGATTGTAAGAATGTACCGTAGCCTAAGTAAAATCAAATTAGATTTATTGGTGTAACATTCTATACAATGCTCGTCCATTTAATTTCTGTTAACTTATGCACGAGTTTCTAATGCACTCACACAGAACAGTCAGAGATAATAATACGGTCGATTAGGCTAAATGCGGACGATTGTTCCTTCTTTTTTGCTCAGGCTTTACCGTCTGTGTATACTGAAAGACGGTTATTATTTGATGCCTCTTCTACGTGAGTGTTTCGAAGAGAGTACATCTTTCAAAACCAGTTTTCGAGCATTTTTATCATATCTCAGGTGGTTTTAGCATCTTTTTAGAAAGACACCCTGATTTTTCCGACGATTTGTGACCTAATGTCGACGAGATAATTTAGTAGCAAATAATAAATAAATATGAACGGTACGGTATTAAGTCGAATTTTATACTGTTTGTGAAAGACGTCTTTTTTCTGTCTAAGAGTCTGTAAAATATTGTTCTGGTGACATGAAATGTGTTACGGCATTTCTTGCCTTCCATTCTCTCACTTTGTACAGGTAAAAAGCTGAAAAGTAGCGTAATGATGCGTCCGTCCGCCCATTGGCTCTTTCGTTCATTCACCAAAATCGAAAGTTTACAATCAAAATACATGGGGACAATATATAGGTGCCATAAAAGCGATAAAACAGTAAAACGTAAAAGGAGACGTGACCTTTAAACTACAATGTGACAGCGTGATAACAAACAAGATACACATTTAAGACTATGCTGTATTATTCGACAAGATAATTTCGATCAGGATCTAAAAAAAAAAAGAAAAAAAAAAATTGAATAGGTTATTTTCGTTGAGGTTCTGCATTGAAATTCAATTGTAAATAAGTAATTTAAAGAATGATTTTAAATACCTAAATGTGCTGTAGATGTTCTTTAATCGACTTGGTAATTTGTTCAGTTCTTATTGATGAAGCATAAAGTAAAGCGTCTTTCATTAATTGAAATTCGTAAAATGAAATTTAAATCCCTGCAGTTTGCACTTGTGTTCTCGGTCGCAACTTTAAATAAGATTAGGCAGTGGAGTATCTAGAGGTCTTGAAATGGGTGTGGGAGGGGGTGGGGGACAGTGGCGCGAAGGTGAAGTAGGGAGATCGATGATCAGTTGAGGGGCGCTAATTCGCAAAATATGGTGATTTTAGGTCATTTTTCACTACTTGACCATGATTTAGGGGGGGCGACTAAGCAGAATTACGCATTATGGCACTTTAAGCAATGTGTATACGCTTGTATTTATTATGGCCTATAATTAAAATTAAATTGATATTGATATTAAGTTGAATTGATATTAAATTAAACTGATAGGCTTACTGACATTTGATGGCATTTTAAACAGGCAATACAATTGAATTGAATTATACCATTGGATATTATAGGCCTACCTACTTATCTGTATTCATCTACGTACATGACTAATTTAAAACATAATAAAATGTTTACACAACAAAATATACAGTAATTGTCTTCTTATATGAATTTAATAAAAGTCTACACAAGGCAGCAGATACTCTCTTACCCTAGAATAGGCCTATCAGTGTGTGTCAAAACGAAGATCGCAGTAACCCGCGTCCCAGACAGTGGCGTATCTAGCAGTATTAAAATGGTGGGGGGTGGGGGTGGTCTGCGACCAAAATATGAGGGGGCGTGAAATTTATTTTCGGTGGCCACGCCCACTGAAAAATATTGCTTCTTATATTCCCGAATACACGTTAACCGTGACAGCATAAGCATAAGCATAAGCCTAGCCTAATTTTTTTTGCTTCGAAGTTTTCGAATGAAGGGGCGTGAGCTTTCTGTGAGGGGGTCGTGCGCCCCCTTGGATGCGCCACTGGTCCCAGACTACTATAATGGTTTGGTTATGTAGGGATCCAAGCAAGCCAGATTTGTGCGTGAAAGTCGACACCACTTCAGGCCCTCCCTGGTTGTGTCTGAGGTTTATAGAACATTTTGAGAATATGTACCGTACTCTATTGTGCCCGGAAATTTCACTCTCATCTTAAAAATGTTCCGTATCAACAATACAATACAATTCAGGGATCTGCACCACCCCGCCCCTGCATGCGCCCCAGAAATGCCGACTCCATTTTGCCGAAATCCACATTTACTTCTGACTCTAAGGATTTGTAAAAAAGACATAGGCGTATCGAGTACCGGTAGCCCAGCCCTAGAAGTTTTTTAATCGGACCGAATATCCACACACAACTACCGGTACACCGGTGTTTTTTCCAGTATCCGTCAGCGGAAAACACAATAAAACACACAATATAATCCACAAATGTATTAAAAGGTCGGTAGATCTAGATTTTCAAAGACCTTTAATGCTTCCTAGGAAACAACAAAAATTTATGAGAGATTTTTAGGCTACTTGTAAAAGGATAACAATGTTTTTGTACCAAATTTGACAGGTTGGCGCCAGTTGGAAAGATAAACTTTTATATTTTATTTATTTATCAATTTATTTATTGGTAAATTTTGTAAAAAATTTGTAGAAACATCCTTAGTTATATTGATCTATTTTATTTGGTTAAAAGTAGATTTTGTAAAAACCCTGCAAACCCCTGCAAAACTTCACATAAAGTGAAAAAAATAGCATTTATGTAGTTATAATCTACTAGTATCTTTGTGTGAAAAACCCCGAAAACCCATTCAAACTGCCACATAAGTCATCCAAGCCACTTAATAAAGGTTATATAATACCTTATAGAATATACCAAAATAATTAAATGAAAAAAAACCCTTTCTAATGCCTATTTTTGGGTAATGAAACGTCGATTTTGTTTGTGGTCGTTGGACTCTGTATAGCGCCCTCTGGACAATGGTGGCGAAGCGCATGAGAAAGACAGAGAGTCGACGACGACAGAGAGACGATGAAGATTTGGAGTTGTTTTTATCAAAGATGAAAATTAGTAATTGAATCGATCTTTCACCTAACTTTTAACAATGGAAGAAGGTGAAATAGAAGATGGTGAAATTGAAGATGATTTGGGTGAATCCACGGCGGTAGAAAAGGACGAAAAATCAGTCACACAGGTTGGTTTAGACCGCGAGAATTCAAGAAGCCTAGGCGTTGGCCAGCAACAACATGAAGTGTCATCATCGGTAGATTCTAAGCATGGATCAGCCTGTGGCATTCGGAAAGAAAATAATAAACCACTAGGCCTAGGCTTAGATTCAAGTATTAGAAAGAGACCATACCATGGAAGTATGTATACTAGGCGTTCTCAAAAACCTGCCCATAGGACAGATAATTATCGTGGTGGAAAACACTACGAAAATAGTGGCAGGAATAGGAATCATCAAAGTCCTAGGATTAGGTCATCTCCTACAACAATGAAGAGACAGCATGATGATGAGGTTGGATACTGGATGGACGAATCCGGTTCGAAATTTGTCGAGCAAAAAAACGATGGTAGTAAAAGAGAAGGGTCAAGAAGAGCTTCGAAAAATGAAGGAAGTTTTAAGAAATCTAAGAAAAATGTAACCAACCTTCCAAATTCTCGTGAAAGAAATAGTGGAGAAGGAGCATTCTGTATCTTTTATCAATAATCATACTCTAAATATCATACAGTAGAATAGACCTACCCTATTCACAGGCACAACAATCCAACAAACACATCCAAAAAAAAAATTACATAGATTTCTCTTGCATTGCAATGATGGCATTGCAGAGGTTCCCCATCGAGGGCACCAAGTTCCCTGACAGGTTGTTTCAAATTTTCAGAGAGGTTCAAGTGAAAGGGTGTGTGGTTGTCGTGACACAATAATACTAATACAACAGTGGTGACTCCAGATATTTGCCAGCAGGGGTCCAACATGTCCACAGGGTGGGTCTAAAGCCTCGGTCAGAGTCCTGGAATATAAATCCCTGGTGGTAGGCTACACAGGGAGAGTTTTTATGGCTTAGTACGGCCCAAATTGTGTTTTTTTTTAGACCACAATATTAGAAAATGGCAATCAAAAATAGCGCTATTTGGATACGCTGTATATTTTTTAGTATGCCTTCTCAGAATATTTGAAGACCCTAATTAACTGTGAAGGCAGAACAGAGATAATTGTTACAAAAAATGTAGTTGGAAAAATAATGTATTTTATATTGTCCTTGATGGGTGTTGTAGATTCGGGAAACAACATCCTACAGCAAAGCGGTAGTCACACAAAAGCTAAGGATCCTGACGATTATGAAGAACTTTTGAAAGAATACCAGAGAGTGATTGAAGCAATGGCAAGAGAGAAAGAAAAGATCAAACAAACAGAAAAAGAAGTGAATAAGGAAGAACAACTTTTACAAATACTATCGACAAGCACATCAAGAGGAAGTCAAGATCCTAAAAAACTGGGTGGTGTCACCTCTGAACAAACTGTAAGTTACTATAAAAGCCATATTCCCGGCATAATTTCACTGAAAAAAGATTTTTTTTTTAGAAAAAATGCATGGATTACTCTAATTATTGTAAATCATGGAACAATATTGGCATAAATTTTAATTTTACGCAAAAAAAAAAAAAATGAAAAATAGAGACAATTTCTCATAGGAGATTACCATTTTCTCAAAGAATTCTTCGTTACTAGGCAAATTCAGAGGATGTAGATCGCATCCGCTGGAATGCTGTCGCTTTTATGTATATTTTATACAGTTCAGTCAATAAAGTGCGCCCTCTCTAATGAGATTAGTTTTTATACTTCGCATCTCACACACTGCGGTTGATCGAGTAGGCCTCAGATACTGTACTCGCGCGATTAAGCGCCCCGTTTGAATAAGCGCCCCGACAATTTGCACCTTTAACATATTCTTATTTGAGTTTTCCTGCTAATCTCAATCGGCCGATGGCCAACAAGCTAACCACCACCACTAATTTTCATTTGCTATTCTGCTGTTATGTAATACTGTACTCACAACATTCTTGTCATGACAAGCCATGCTCTCTGGATGATTATCTTTTCTGCCACATCACCATTCTTGGTCAGAATAATTTTTTTAACAAACTTGAAATAATTCCTATGAAATATATATTTCACAAGTGTCAATACTAGCAACGGAAAATATCATGTCGGCCGTTTTTATGTGTGATAACAGAACCTAAATCGAGGTAAGGCTTGGCCTAGCCTGGCAGTGTTGGACAGGCTAATGTTTCCGGCGCCTACTATATTTCTTCTCTATTTTTTGTGTTTTAGGAATGTCTAAATTCAGTTACACTAGCAATTTCATATTATATTTATAAATCTTTATAACATATAAAAATCAGGTTTTTCTTAACAACTGAAATTTTGCTGGGAATAGGGCTTTAAGTATATTTATAATTTAAAATAAATAGGCCTTTGTAAAATACAATACCATTTTAGCACTCCAGTAATTTGTAATAAGTGCCACTCTTGTATAATGCTTGAATAAGCACCACAAGTAATAAATTTCCAAAAAATCTGTAAGCACTGCAGGACTTTACGATAATATTGTGATGCTTGTCTGAAGAACAAGGCAATTTCAACATATTGGCATACAGGATCAAGATGAACTATTTTTCACAAGTTGTTAATCTATTTTGATATAAGCTTAATACCAAGGATAAAGATGAGAATGATGAGGATGATGAACTGCTGGAGCTACGGTTAGCAGCATTAACGTCACTTGCTCAGAAGGATGAAAAAGAAAACAAATGTAAACCAAACCAAGATAGGTTGCCAAAGAAATCAGAAAATTTGCCCACTTATCACTCAACGAAGAAGAAATCAGGTAAATTATTTACCAAAATCCAAAATTTGTTGTATTTTTGTGTATTTTCTACTTTGTAGGCTTAAACACATTTTTTTTGAAAAAAAAATCAAACAAAATAAACAAAAAAAAAACTTTTTCTACTACCAACCTACCCATTTTTTGGATTTCCCAACAATTATTTTTTTTTTGCCTAATATCCTTCATGAATGATGAAGATACAAAACTGTTAAGCTATAGAGTAATAATTGTTTTGATACAAATTTAAATCAAACTAATTTTGAAAGATACAGTGCTGTATACTAAAAACAAAATATGTTTTAATAATATTTCAATTGGTGAATTCGTTGTACATATACAGTATGTAAAGCTGGTCTCACACTGTGGGATTCTGCTTACGATAACCTGCGCTACGACACGACTACAATTCTACGATATCGTATATTGCCGCAACTCCCATGCACCAGACAATTTTTTAACTGAGGGTGTTGTAGCACAGCTTGTCGTAAGCTAGAATCGCATCGTGTGAGACTGGCTTGAGACAGTTATTACCTTTCACTTGAGTATTGGAATGAGGAAATATTTTGCACACTAATCCAATATTATTGTTTCTACTTTTTGCATAGACCCTTAAATTGACTAGTAATCAATCAATTTATATTCTCAAATCAAAAGAGATAACAAGTTAGATATAATAAATTGTTTCGCTTAATCAATAATCAATAATAATAATCATCTTCTCAAAATTATTAGCTACATCTCGGAGGTCAACTACAGTCTCACGAAGCAGAAACCGGCGGCGAAGCATTCGCCCATCAAGACAGCGTACACGATCAGCCAGCACTTCTGTTCCAGGTTCAAGGCTGAGAACAACCAAAGATTTCTTATCAATAGATGATGAAGAAGAACGAATCAATCAATTTTTGCTTTACCTGCAGGAAACTCCAGAAGCAAGAGACATACCTGATAGTAACTCAACTCAAAAGGTATATGAATTGAGTTAACTGTCAGTGGCAGATCCAAGAAGGGGGCTCAGGGAGGGAATTTTCAGAGATATAGGGGGCTCGTCCAGCTTGGTGTTTTTCTATGGAAATCCTCAATATGAATAAAATTAAAATTTATTAAAAATAATCTAATATTATAAATGTGTTAATGTATGGATTAGAATTAAATGCTCTACTAACTAAACTATGAAGTCAAGATGTTGTACTTGTATTATGTATAATAATAATAAATTTATGCTTATATTGCTCATAATACATAAAGTGTAGGACCTACACACAAATTTTACAGAAAATGATCCTGAAAAAATAATACTTAAGACCTAGTTTGACAAATGAATTAAAATATTGGCTTGTAAATAGTGGGTTGTGGTATTAAAAAAGATACATATTATACTTGCATGGGATTTTGTCTGGCAGTGTTTCCAGCAAGCTGAGTTAAAAATTATAATAATTAGCTTATAAAATACTGTATTTCTTTATACACAGGAAAGTAAGGAAGCTGATAAAGGCATAAAAGAGAGTCTGCTAAAGCCATCAAGCACAGCAGCATTAGGTGACGATAACTACGAACAAGTTGAAATGGAGATTGATGAAACACAAGGTATCTGTTTTGGTATTCTAATTGGGTTTTTATTATGTTTTTTTCAGTCGGGTGCATTTGTAAAGAAAAAATACTTTAATTATTTCTACTGATTTTTAGAGTCTGAAGAAAAAGTTGAAATGCCAATCTTAACAGCACCGGAACCAGCGACTAGTTCTGCTGTTCCTACAGAAATACAACCTCCTATCCCTGATGTACCACCACCTATTCCCTCCCATACACCACCACTTCCGATTGAGTCAAACCTTCCAAAACCACCAGAACCTGAGGAGGAAGATGAGGATGAGGAAGAAATACTTGCACTTCGCCAACTGCTCTTGAAAAACATGAAACAAAAAATGAAAAGTAAAGTTACAGAAGTCAAAGTCACACAGGTGAGGCATACAATTTACATTAATTTGTTTTGGTATTATTATGTTCTCAAGCACACAAGGCTTTTTAATTAGTGACTATTATTATCCCTGGTCATTAGATCCATTATTAGCAAACTGGCATGCATTCATATAACCTGACTATAAATGTTAATTTAATGTAGATATGTATGTACAGTAAATTATCGTATATGTGCCGCTCTTGACTAAATGCCGCTCTTAAATTAGCGCTCAACCAAACCTGATTTTTTTCGATAAGCGACGCTCCTGAATAGCACTATGGAAAGCGCCACACCAATATTTTTTTTATAAGCGCCTCTATAAAAATAAGCGCTGCTCTTGCACTGAAGCCGCCAAAAATGTTATAAGCGCTTCGGCGCTTTTTCAAGCATTTGCGGTATGTACGTAAACACTACCTACCTACTTATGCACGCATAATACATATTACTTTACGAAAAACATATTTATTTTCCTGTTTTGAAGTAGCAAACTCCTCTCAAACAAAAAGGGCTTTGCTGCATAAAGCCTCATTTATACCGAATCCAAATTCAGAAGGCCAACCGAGCCGATCAGAAAATTTGAACCAGTGTATAAGAATAAGGATGCTGGCATTCAGCTTATCGCAAACGCAGTCCGAATTTCTGTTCAGGTCCGATGTGAATGCAGCTTTAGTATTGCTTTTTTATCAACAGAAAATGTTTTTAAGTATTAATTTTTAGAAGATTCTAATTGTTGTGACAGTATCTACTGTGCGTTCACTTCTTATTCAACTAAATTTTTGTAGGATTCCAAAGTTTCACAAACACCATCGCCAACGAGAACACCGAGAAGTGAATCTCCTAGCATACAAAGGTCCACTAAGAAGAAACAAACACCAATTTCAGTGAGTTCATACATTCATGCATATTCAATGTTTGCACACCCCACTCCAGACTCGCATCATATCATCATATACGTTTTGAGTCTTTATCCATTTTGGTCATCGGTTGGACTTTCCTTCATTTGATGACAGATCTTCAAGCTCCTCTGTACTGAAGCAATTGCCGCCCTAGACCTTTTGCCCTAAGGTCACTTTGGATGACTGCTTCTCTTGTTTTCCAGGGTCTGCCTCTACTTCTTCTACCTTTGACCTCCCTACTCCTGCATCTGTTTTCAGTTATCCTCCTCCATCTTTTCAATGTGATGGAATACTAATAGTAAATGTTAAAATGTACATTCTTGATTTTTCATTCTAAGCCTTAAATATACCAATGCACATTTATTTATGGATTTAGTCACTACATATTTTAAGTAGTTAATATGTAAATTTATAATGGGTTGCTGAGTGTTGCACCGTAACTCAAATGTGTGTGAATTCACATTTATATATAGATTTCTGCTCCCCATACATTAAATATGTTGACTTTATAATTTGTATCCAACTTTAGGTACAAATGCTAAGATGTGCCAAAACAGTTTACTCAATCACTTCCAATAAACATTGTGTTTCTACTACCTCAGATACCTGTGCATGAAGAAGTAGTGATAAATTTGAAAGATGACAGTGATTCAAGTGATGAAGAGAACAATACAGTTAGTGAAATCACTTCCACTGGCTACAACAGTATGCTTGACCAGTTCCTCAAGGAGGCTCGGAAAAAAGCTGATGTAAGTAGCCTGAGTTGAAAAAAAATATCTTAATTCAAAGTTTAATGCTGTCATAAATGAAGGGGGCTTTTCTAGTCAAAATGTAAAGCATTTTTTTTTTTTTTTTTTTATTCTATTGTCTTTTTGTAGGCTGATAAGCCGAAGAGTGCAGCAGAGACAGTGCCTCAGATGTTACCTAAAACCCCAGATGCAATGAAACAGTTGTCCACAACACAACAGGCTGAATACAAACGTCTGAAAGAAGAAATTGCAAAGCGAGAAAAAAATAAGATGAAGAAAGTGGTTACAGCTACAAACCAATCACCTATCCCGTCTGATATGGAGGATCCAAATCAAGACGAAGGAGAAAAGAAGGTTAAAAAAAATACATTGACGGTAACATTTGTACCCCAGGGAGATGGAGAGAGGCAGATAGGAATAAAGGAGGTAGATGGAAAGATTGCTATGAATGATGATAAATCAAATGAAAAAAACAAGCAGAAAATTCTTAAAAAGGATCCAGTACAGAAAGCTGAAAAAGAAGCGGAAAAAATAAAGCAATACAAAATCAAGATGGTAGAGGAAAAACTGACTAAATTCAGGTATAGGCCAAGAGTTTATCTTTATAATTGTGTTATCCATTAGTTATTATGAAATCATGTTCCATATTTAGATTTTTATCAATTTTGTTTCTAGTTAAATTTGATTTCAGTTTCATCATCATCATCATCACCAAAATTCAATTCAATTCAATTCAAAATAAATTTATTCCAAATCTTTTCAAAGCATAGATAAACAATACAGATATATAAAAATGGAATTGGAAAGGGCAACCACAAACAAGAAGAGCTTTACAATAGTGGCGCCCGAAAAAAAGTAATTAAGATACTATTTAAAATTGAGTAAGTCAAGGTATACATTTTAATTAAAGCACTTTCATATAGATCAAGACAATAATAATAATAATAATAATAATAAGAATAAGAATAATAGCAAAGAAAAGAAATAAAATAAAATAAAAATAAATAATAAATAATAATAATAATAATAATGATAAAATATAAATAATATGTCCTTCTTAGATAGCAATTTAAACACTGTAAAATTATATAAATAATTAAATTAAATAAAAGCAATAAAGCAACATATAAATTGCACTTTGCAACATCATTGATTATTATTGACGAATTTCTTTACAAATAATACAATTGTTCACGTCCTGGCAGTGGTACCGTTTCATCTTATAACTTTCATGATAAATATTATTCATTTTGTTCTTAAATAGTGAAATATTAGCACATGCTCTTACATTGCTTGATATGTTGTTCCACATCTTAGGCCCTATATACGAGATCCCTTGTCGGCCAACATTTGTACAAATTGTTGTGTTTCCCATTAAATAACCATTTGTAAGTCAAATTTTATCCTACTTGAACAATTTTTTAAATGCCATTTTGGATTCGACTTAGGCCAGTTCAACTGTATATAATGATATTAACTATATGAAACCTCTGTTTCCATTGAATGATGTTGTTTTCATATTTTTAGAACTGTAATTGAGAAAGATGAAAACATGTTTGAAGATGCTAACCAAAGATTAGGGAAGAAAACATCAACGTTGAAATTAGCCTTGACAAAAATAACCAAGTTGAAAGAACAACTAGCATCTGTCCAACGAATTGCAGATGCAAATCAAAATAGTATCCGCAAAATACATGAAGAAGTAAGAAATTTATTCAGTATATTGTTTTTATTTCTCTGATATCTAACAAGAGTGATTGACCTATGAAAGCAGTGGAGTTGAATAACTAAGTGGTTAAGATGCTTGACTTCTAATCCAAGGGTCCTGGGTTCAACTCCTGTGACAGCAAGACTTTTTCTCACAATTAAAACAACTCCACTCCGTAAGCCTCATAAAGAGACATCGCTGATAAAAGCATCACATTATTTCATTTATTTAAGAGGACCCCTGAATATCAGCTGACCTTCTAGGCTATGCTGGAATAGTTAACCTTTCTGAATGGTAAAAAAAAAAAAAGAACCTTTTGGCATGCATTATTATTTATAACTAAATCTGTAATGTTGGTGGCTGTAAGATATACATTTGGGGGAATGGTGTTAAGTGGTCCCTTAGGGGTTTGGCGATTTCTCTTCGAGGCAAGCAGGGTTTAGCATTTAGCACTGAGTAAAAAATGTGTAATATTCTCATAGTTTTCCTATCACAATATTGTGGGTTTTAAGATGTATTATGCCCAAGGGATTAAAATAAAAAATTAAAATGTTTACCCCTTTTATTGTTTAAGTCCATGCAACTGGTACTACCCCTGGTCTATATAGAAAGCTTGAGGAGTAGTTGTACTCCTTAAGTCTGTGACCTTCCAGATGGTGATGTATATGATGCTAAGCTGAGCTATCACTAAGTCAAAGCTCCACTTACTAATTTACCAGCATAGATATGCAAAAATAAGTTATTAATTTGGATTAGAATGGATTTATTTGGTGAAAACCCACAAAAGTGAGAAGACTTACTTCCAATGTGGTCCTAGTGGTGATTGGGTTGTACACTGGTAGGCAATCCTCTTTTACTTGTTTTTTTTTTCTTCATAGAAAAATGCATTAAGTTCAAGATTAAAACAGCTAAAGGCCAAAGAGTACCGACTTTTGGAAGCATTAGCAGACATGAAAGGTGTCCCACTGGAGACTGTCATCAAATCCCATAGGATAGTGAAGAAGTCTATGGGCAAAAGGGCAGCAGTAGGAGCAATAGAGAAATCATATGAGGTGTGAATTGAGAAAAAGTTGTTTTAAGTGTAGCAGTAGTTTGGTGAAGGATGCTTCCTTTGTCAGTTCTAATCCTGGTTAAACCTAAGTTGAATGAATCCATCTTGTATCACTGCACTCACAACACACATTACTTATATTGTGTGAAGGTTTGCATGGAGAAGTAATAATATATATTAATGCTTGTGGTACACCACGTAGATATTTCTGAAAAGAACTGTTGGTGCTGTCTCAACCAGCAACAACAGTTCTTTTCAGAACTATCTATGTGATGTACCGCAAGCATTAATACACATTACCTAATTATGTTGTGAGTACATTAGATCCCAACACAGTACTAAAAGGGTTACATGACAGCGGGCCAACATACAGAGTATTTGAGTTAATATATTTTTTACATTTTGGAATGAAGTAAACAAGACTAGAATTTGATATTATACAATGCATTCCCTTAAATATTTATAATTTCATTTTTTTTTTGTAAAGGATGTTGCTGGTGTTTTGGAATGTTTATTTTAGGTTCTTAAAGATTGCCAGAATGTTTTTTATTAGCAATAAATTGCTTCTCTTTCTGCTATTTTTGACTGTTTGAAGAAACTTTGTTTGCATGTGGTTGTGACCATCTTCATAATATATTAAATTATAATACAATGTATTATTTTTAAATTATAATATAAAGTAAATTAAATTTTTGCAGAAAATTATATATTTTTCCATTTTTGGTTGCAGTCAATCAAACGACAGAGGCTTACCTCGGAAAGGGAAACTGTACTAGCCAAAGAGAGGTCAGAACTTAGCCGGTTACAAGCACTGGAAAAAATGTATGCTGAAAAAATTGCAAAGTTTAAAGAATCCCACAACCAACAAAGACAAAAACTTAAAAGATTGATAGCTTCACCGTCTGTTTCAAAAGTCCTGCAGGAAGCTAACTTATTCATGAATGTTAGACCTTCCAAGCAACTGTACTTAAAAGATAAAATAAATATCCCTGCTGGTTCCGGGATGGTAGAAGATGTCGAGACAAAAACCGAGGTGACAGTAACCAGGAGAAGATCTTGGTTGGATGAGACCTCAACCATGAAGCCAAGTCTTTCAGCAACATCTTCACCCCAAAATTCAACAAAGGAGTCTGTAAAGAATGAGTTGGGAAATAATGTGCCTAAATCGACAAAAACAATTGAGGAAGACAAGAAAGGAATTTTTAACACTAAAGAATTAGAAAAACTTAAGAAATTACAAGAACGAAGGGAGAAGGTGTTGAGGTATTTTGATTGGACCGCATCGATTAATGCAAGTGTTTCAAAAGGTGAAACACCTGTCCTACCTAGTGATATCAAGGTGGAATTAGCAATAAAGAAAACCACAGCAAAGGATGAAGCCAAAGTTATGTCTTTAAAACCTTATGAAAGTCCTTTATTGCCATGGAATGTGTACAGGTTGGTAGTGTTTTATTATATTAATTAGCTGTCATATTTTTGAGACTTCAAGTTGTATGCCATTTTTATTATTGCATTATTAGTGTTGCTTATTCATGATTATCACTTCAAGATATAAATTGAATGAAATTACAAGATTTATGGGCCAAATGTGTTCTAATCATGAGTCGAATGTCCGAGTGGTTTAGGCAGGGGTGCCGCAACCTACAGCCCGAATACCAGCGCTGGTTCGAGCAGCACGCTCACCTATAGTTCAGGTGGTGGAACAAGTCTTCTCCGATAAGGACTATAAACCGTAAGCCCAGTGTACACAATTGGCTCACGTGCACTTAAAAGTACCCAGTACATGTTTCGAGATGAGCGTGTGGTTACCCTGGTGTATTGGTCAATACAGCCCCTGTTACCCTACGGCTATGGATCATTAGGTCCTTTTCAGGATGTACCTACGTAAACGGAGGTAATAACTTTCATTTTAATAATCAAAATGTGATCCCTGCAGTTTTGCATTATTAAAAAAGACTGCTTGTTTATATTGTGATGATGTTTAATTATTTTTCATTCTTGTCAACTCGTTTTATAGTTAATTTTGTCTTAATTTTAATAGGTTCAGTGCATTATTCAAGCAGTTGTCTTCAGAGTCTCTAGGAAGTGAGACATTTTGTAACAAAATCAATCCGTCTGCTATTTTTTGTCGATTTGATCTGAATGGTAAATGTAATGACGATGACTGCAAATGGTAGGTGAATTTGGTTGAAATTTAAAATCATGTTTTTATTTTCAAGAAATGTAAAACAAAAGTTAATTGGAAGTCAGACTACGGATATTGATATTTTTGTATCTTAGTTACTAATTTTTGATTGGTTTTTCTTTGAAGCTGAAAAAATACCATCCAGAAATTATTTTTAGGTGCTCTAAACATATAGGAAAATGTAAACTGTTGTTGTTATTTTTAGGCAACATGAGAGGGATTCTAAAATGACCTTTGAAGAAATTTTGGCCCACCTTGTTTCATATGATGTTTCCATTGTTGGAGCAACAGAGAAAAGTACTTTGCCACAAATCCAACGAAAAGTATGGCTCTTTGCCAAAATGAAGTGCCAAGAACTGAAGAAACATTCAGAAGAAGAGAAACAGGAAATGATGAAAAAGGTCATGAACTTAGTATTTTCAAAACCCCAAAGAACGCCCTCAAAGTTGGAACCCAGGCGATGGAAGGTGACTCAAAGGAACAAGAAGGCCATGGAAACTGAAGATGAAGTATTCATGAATGAAGATGTAAAAATAACATCAGGTACATTTGTTTCCTTGCCAAATAATAGACATTACATAATGTAATTCCTACATTTTTATACACTTTATTTTTTATTGATGATCCATTAAAGAATTTTGGTTGTAAAAAGATTCATAAATCAGTTAAAACTGAATTGTTTTGATGTGTTTTTTTAACAATTAATGTTTAAGCTACATTTAACCCAGTTCTTTTTCCTCTATGTCCCTTTATTGCATCATGTAAACAGGGATGAAGTTTACAAACAGAAGAAAACATAAAAACAGACAATCAAAAAAATAGTACCCATGAAAAATTTAAGAATCAAAATAGAAAAAGTAAAAAAGAATTTAGTTCAAAATTTAATTGTATGAAAATAGATAAATTGTCTGAAAGTAAATTTAAAAGGTTGAAAACTGTAATTGATTAGGTATAGAATAGCATAAAGAATTAAAGTTTTAACACCTTGCTTTCTAGTTTTCCAAGATATCTACTTAAAGTGTAAATCATTTTTTTTTCAGAGTCTGCTACAAATGTGAATCTTGTTGACCCAGACTATGTTGATGAAGATGATTTGAGATATTTTGCATCAGATGTTGGAACGGGACAACTTGAAAATGCTGTCCTACAAAACCCTCACGACATTCAACTTTGGTTGAAATTAGCTTACAAACAGTTGAGCAAACCCGGGTAGGCCTAATCTTCAGAATAGTTCTTATTGGGTGGGGCAGATTTGAAATTAGGAATATGTAAGGAAATTATAAACTGGTTGCATTATAAACTGTTAGTTCTTCTTCCAGGAATGATAACATGGACAAGGCCTTGCATGCACTGTCAAGAGGCTTGGATAGTAACAGAAATGATTCTGAACTCTGGCTTCACTATCTAACCTTGTATAACAAGCGATGTAGCAATCATGAGGACGTCATGGAGATGTGTAACCATGGTATCCATTACACACAGAACTATGATGTGTGGCACAAGGTACACAGCATCTTTTTTTATGCTGTCGAGATTATAGCATTTTTTGGACAAAAACTGTTGTATGCCCATATATAGTCGTGATGTACCTATATATGGTTATGATGTACCTATATATGGTCATGATGTGATGTCATCATGACTGTATTTAGGTATGTCGCATGTTTTTTGTCAAATAAAATTTGATAGTCATAACAGGGCTTAATGCAAAATTGTGAGCTTATGTTTATAATCATTGCATGAAATCAATGGACAAATTACTGTTTTAGGCAAAATATTTCATTTAGTACAATTTATTTTGAAGAATACAGAGTATATTCCACATAATCTTATAGGTGAACCTATGTAGTAAAAAATGTGTTACTTTTAACTATAGAAGAATGTGATGCAGTAATGAAGTAATAATATTTATTTGTATTGCATTTGTAATTTGAAAATGTCTATTAACTATTTTTTAGTAAGAAAGAAATAATTTTATTAAATGTCAAATTTGTATTTCTTTCAGACGTTATCTTTCACTAACAGCCTTGAATCAATAGATGAAATTTGCCAAGATTTGTTACAAGCACTGCAAGAGGAACAGCAGATCAGCCCAACAGACAGAGGATCCCATCGGCTGCTGGAAATGTTGTTATACAGAAGCCATCTCTACTGTTTAGTTGGCAAGGGAGTCTATGCTCTTCAAATACTTAAAGTAAGATGTATATCATATTTTAAATAATAATTATGTTTTAGTAACCTATCTGAAATACAAGTTACGATAGTGCACTGTCTTTTGGATGATATGTTTAAGACATTGGTCCTGTGTGCAATATGGCCCATGTACATGTTAAAGTACACAGTACACTCTTCAGAAAAGAGTAGGGGATTGTCTCCCGGTGTACTGCCCAATTTACCACCAGAAGGATCCCACTAGAAAAGAATCATCTTGCTGTGTTTCACACCAAGATACTCCTATCCTACTCCTAATCCTATCCTCAACTTTTCTATATCTTTTTCTACCAAGTTTGTACATCTTTTAATGGCAGGTACACCAGATAAATAAAATGTTTTTATATGTTGTACAGAAAGTTTTAAAGGCTATTGAAGTGGTGTTTGACAAACGAGTAATATGATACAGATTTTTGAATATGTAAAAACTACAGGAAATAACCCCCATTGTCCTATGTTTTTGAATATTCAACATTTTCGTCAAATACCCCTTTAGTTCACCATTGTTGCACTTTACTTATGGTATTTTCAATTTGTTTTCAGGACTGTGTATGCAAGACCAATGGAATGCCATTAGTTGACCTACTAAGCACTGTTGATAAATGCTTAGCATGGCTTAGTTTTATTCACCTGAAGTACTTTAAACAGTTGCCTCCAAGTCTATTTGATCCTAATTCATCTGCCCCATCCAGGCTAGTCTCTAAGGTGAGAGATATTTGCAGCCTAAAGTATTTTTTCTCTTCTTTAACTTAAATTGAATTAAATTTATATAACAATAATTATAAATGTGTTAAATATTGTGCATAATATCATATTTCAACTTGGCAGAAAAATATTAAATTGCACTGGTAAACATTAAAACATAATGCAGAACACAGAAGAAAGATCCCCAAACTGAGCTTATTCCCCCCTCATTGTTGGTTTCTTAAAACACTGGGTCTAAATCAAAATTCGAACATATCAGCTTAAATTCAAGTATTTACAAATAAATTAAATGTAAGTAATCTAATAAGCGCTTCCATGGAAGAAGCACTGCTCTCGATTAAGTTCTGCACCAAACATTAATATTTTTGCTAACCACCCTACTGATTAAGTGAAGTGTCATGTTGCTTATTAGAACACATAGTATCACATGGTACAACACATAGTATCACAAGGTACAAAACATGGTATCATTTTAACGCTTATTTAAGAGAGCACCGCTCAGGTATAAGTGCCTATCTTGAAGCCTTCAAATATTTTATAAGCGCTGTGGCACATATTAGAGAGCTTTTGATTGCACGACGACGGTAGGACGTAGAACGTAATGACCTCAATAAAAGTTATCTGCGCGTTAAGGTCACTTTATCGAGTAAATTCTGGCACTCATTTTTGCCAAATCTACGGATGCAGAGAATGTAGGACGCCAGGTAGGATGGTCACGCATGAGTGATTCCGTTCTAGAGTCACGTTGTTGCACAAATCAAAAGCTCCCTAACATAAAGTAGAAGTCTACTGAAGGTCATTGCCCGTGACAGGTTATTTTATTATCTGTTATTTAGGAGTTGTTTTTATGTCCCTGGGCAAAGAGCAGTATCACCATGTTGGATGAGATTCAGAAAGATTTGCAAGATGCAGTAGAATGCTGTCATAGCAAAGAACACAATGCTGTGGAGAATACTATAGCCTGCTTGTCACTACATAAGAACCTAGTGCAGTTGTACGTTGCATGTGACAGGTAAGTTATCACATTAACTGAGTTTGGACTACTTGGATTATTGTATGTTTCATATGTGCAAGACACAGTCTTGTTAATTTAAGACTACTTTTTGAAAAAAAAGAATGAATGAATTATTGTTATTATTTTAATTTGAGAGTGACAGTTGGATGTGTTTGGTGGTGTTGTTTTTTTTAGTTCAGAAAAAGCAGTGTCATTTATCCAAGGACTGTTGAAAGACTGCCCAGGACCAGGAATCGATGAACTCTGGATTTTACTTTTGAGAACGATGAAGCCAACATGTGATTTACCGACCTTGAATCAGGTGATAATACAATTAAACTGTATAGAAGTTGTTTGATAAAATACTTTATAATCCATATAATTAACTACCAAATTTTTCCTTGTTTTAGCCAAATGTGGTGTCATGTAAAGGAAATTGTGCATTATATTTTTCCTAAGCCAATAGAGAGAAACTCAATTGTTTACTTTTTTGTTCCCTCTCTTACTTATTTCATGGAATGAGCTCTTCACTTAAACACTAATGCTTGAATCAGTTGAGCAGTTTATATCTCAAATCAGGGATAGACACATTCAACCTATACATAACATATTTAATTGGTTACAACCTTTTTCTCCCAGGTTGTTGAAGAATGTCTAGTTTGTAATAAACATTCTGCTAGTATTTACTTGACGGCAGCATCATTTGCATTTAAAGATGCAGCCATTGACTTAGCACGCAGTCTTCTTCATCGCTGTGTTACCTCGTACTACAAGGAACTTTCTGCAGATCATGATGCAATAACACTATACCGGTATTTTTTTTTTTTTTTGCTTTTAGACTTGGTGGTTACTATTTTTATTGTCATAATATCATTTAAAATCATTATTATCTATCTCCAAAATCATAAATAATTATAAATTTACCATCAAATATTCATTATTTAATATCCGTGATTTTTCTTCAAACAACAATCAACTTTTACCAACAGTGCTTTACATATATTACTCCAAATCAATTTGGATGGAATTATCTTTTTAGTAGTACATTAGCATTATGTTGTGTTTCTTTTGTTTATTAGCAAACTTTTAAGTCTGCCAATACCATACATATCTCTACTTCCACATTATGCTGATGATGTTAAAGAGGGGGATTTGAAAACACAGAGGGTTCACTTATGGATGTGCTATGCACTGCTTCTCGAAGTCAACGGAGATAAAACTTCAGCTGGTGAAGCTTACGAGGTTGCTCTTTGTGACCTTGATAAAACTAAAGACGTACAGACAATTTGGTTGGGGTGAGTTGTTCTATTGTTTTTGGGTTCATCTAGGTCTATTAATAAACAATAGGCTTCCAGCAGGAGTGTGTATCTATTGTGTTTTTTGCTATGGGGACTTAAATTATTGTAAAATTAAAATTTCTGGTTGAAATAATATAACCCATCCACATTTTCTGTTGGTAATTCACATGAATAACTCTACAATTAAAAGATTGTTGACTTTTAGTTCATTCTAGGACAGATCTAGGCATGGCATTATATTCCATAGGCTATCTTTAACTATTAATGCAATTGTATCCCATCATTCAAGAAGGGTAATAGACACAAAAATTATATTCTAAATACAGTATGTAGTTAAGTATCTGATTATCAATGACTTGTTTTTTAAGATACCTGCAATTTCATTTACGGAAGATGTCGCCGTCCACTAACACCATCCAGGATATGCAAACGTGGCATGAATTAATTAACCGGTGTCTTATAACGTCACCGTGTCAATTTCCTGTGCCCTACAATACATCCAAGAATTGGCTAGACTACACCTTCCACAACCAAGTGTTGAATCTGTACATAGCGACTATCAAGGAACAAGATAAGTTGGATGTGTTTGAGAGGTTGCTCTCTATAATGCCAAGGAATACATTACTGCTCTTGAGGTCAGTAACTTTCTTAATTTTTGGCTAAGGCAAAAATTTTAATATTTGGAAGAGAGTGAATAAAAGAAAAATTAATTTTTGTTTTTCATTAATGCTAAATCCGACACTGAAGATTGCAATTCTCAATTTCTCTTTTTCTCTTCAGAGTTTGTCAGTATGCTGTGTTAGCAGAGCGCCCAAAGCAGGCCTTCATACACTGTACAACATTCCTTCGCGATCAACCCCATTGTATACAAGGATGGAAAGTGTAAGATACCCATAAACATCTTTTTTTGTTGTTATCCATCCATCCACTTTTTTAGTTTGAATAACAAAAAAAACTCAATATTATTGTTACCATCGATCCCCCTACAATTTATTTGGGTTGCCCTGCTATGCAGTGGCAGCTGTAGGATATATTTTCTTGGGGGTGGGGGAGTGGGGTAGAGGCTAAGCTGTCTGACAGGGGGAATTAGCGAACTCTGGATTGCGGGAAATGGCACTGCCAGACTTGAAAATTGCTTTTAAATGTAAAGTTGAAAAAATACAATTGTTACTATACTCTAAAAATCAACTCAATAAACACACATTTCATTTTATTGGGCCTATTTTCTTAACCTAACCAATGGGGGCTTAAGCCCTCCCCCTTAAACACTTAAACCAAATTTAAATTTATAGGAATTATTTTTACTAATTATTTTACCAATAGTCAACAAGTCTACTTGTGTGTTGCCTTTTGATACTGCATGCCCCTCACTTGTTTATTCTTTTATTTTCCTTCCCTTGAGCATTTTCTGTCTTTTCACAGAGCAATTCACTTACAACTCATCACAAAGAACTACAAGCAGGTTGGTGTTTTTATTTATAGTATATCAAACACAGTTTACATCTATGTATTATATTTTACGTAGAACACACTTACATATATTATAGTTATACATCTAGTTATTGCATATAGCACTCAGCACACAGTTGTTATTAACTTCTGCCTCACAAGGGTAATGAAATATAAGTTTTACTGAATCATATTATTCTCCTTTAGATTTAAAATAACATTTTAAACAAAGTCTATGCTAATAAGTGTATCTTTAGACTTGCCATTAACCAGTGCACCCTTACATATTCTGTAATATAGTACAGTCTATTACTTTACTATTAACACAAAATCCACAAAAGCTCTGTTTGCATTGGGATTTTTTTTTTTGTCAACTTGCAACTATAATTGGTTGTCCTTTTTGTCAAAATACCCAAGTTGTGTTGTAAAAAGGAAGTTCCTCTGCTAAGAATAACCAGCTGTTTTTCCCAAGCAGGAAAGTCCACTACGAACAGCACCACTCAGTTAAATTTTTTGTGAGCGTGTGTTACTACTGTACACCCCTCATTTTTCATAGAAAGTGCAAACAACAGTATAACTTTACCAAGATAATGTTAACCATCAACTTGGTCAAAATTAATCCAGTGCAAACATTGCTTAAGTATGTACAAGCACTGGATTATCATTTAAGTATTTCAATCAATTTTCATTTAAATGATGAAAATGGTATTTACTTTATCTCTTACTTTTGACTTGTTGTACATCTGTTCATTTTTCAGAGGTGTCTGAAGTTGTTTTTTGTCAACATGGGAGGGGGAGGGAGTGTGATAGCATCAACAAATGAATGACATTTATAACTTAGTTGTTGCAGCACCAAAGACCAATCATATAGTACAATGACACTCATGCACATTCAAGTATTTACAAACCTATTACACATTCTAATTTTCGAATTTAATTGTGTAACAAAAATTATGTACAGTATGCTAAAAAATGCACATAGCTTGTTCAGTAACATATACATATTTCAGTTTACTATTATTATTATTATTTGTTATTACTTGCCACAAACCATTACAACAAAATTGACAATGGAACCCCCATAATTTGTATTATATAATTGAATAATTCATGAAACAATTCTCTGCTCTTTGTCATTTCTTTCTGTTAAAGGTTCGTCATCTTTACTCGAGGGCGCTTGCCAGCAACCCCTTAGTGGCTCAACTCTGGATCAACGTATATAAACATTTATATTATTTTAGTATTTGAATAACCTTTTATATTCAAGCAAAATGTGATGTGTTCTAGTTAAATAATAAGAAATATATTACTAATTTTTTATGATAGTTGAATTTTCATAATAGTAATTTTGATTATTATTATTTTATTAGGTGCATTCATGCTAATATAGCTTTATATTTATATAATTTCATTTTCTCCTTCCAGTTGTTGTTGTTCCTGGTTGCGCATGGGAACAACTCGGATGTGGACCAGACCATTAATAACAGTCTCAAGTATGGAGTGAATTTGAAAGAAAAGGTCATGGAACTTTTAGCAGGTCCCAGATGAACAATCAAACACTTTCTGGATGGATATCTAGGTCATTCAGAGTTGACCTTTTAAACAATTTTCAAAATTCCAAATTTAACTTATTGGCAAAAAAGTGCAAAATTTCTATTGTAAGCAATAATTATTGGAAAATCTTTCTGGAAATAATTGAATGAATTTTGAAGAAAAAATGATTTACTGATGATAATTTAACATCGTATGTCTGATTTCATGTGAAATGTATGGAGAGAGCACTAACTTGGAAAAACTACTAGTACAGCCTGTGATATACATCAATTATGACTGGATGATAACCTTCAAAACACAAAAACTTCCATGGTCTACAAGGAACTTGCGATAGTCATCAAACATTATGTGTACAGATATATATCTTCAAGCGCTCGTAAGTATTATTAACATGGGGTTTTTTGTTGCAGGAAACTTGTTCTTGTTAACCATCTTTCACTCATACCTCTGAAGTAGGTATGTAATATAGTGTCAATTTTTACTTGTGATGTATTAGAAATTAGAATAGAAATAGAAATGTAAACACGTTATTTTTCTTCCTAATATATTGGAGATGTGTGTTTTATATGTACCAAAAACATTTATTTTTCATTATTTTGTTTTCATGTAGAAAAGTTCATCACATATATTGTTGATTTCACTATTTTTTTCAAACAATAAGTTAGGGATGCTGGGCATTATTTGAAGATCACAAAATCAGCAAAGCACTGACATGTAGCTCCAGTCACATGACCTGTGACTGTGCATGCGAGCACAATATTTGAAGACATTCATTCTCCAGATGATGCCAATGAGATGTTATAAAGGCATAAATTATGCAGTTGTCTCTCCTTCAAGTATTTGCAACATTGGACTGAGATTTCACTCCATTACTGGTAGCTGTCTATTTGTAGACATTCACCAACCGTTGACACACAGCACATTGCGAAGTGAGACTAGTGCACAACAACCAAACACAGATAAATGAATGACTATTAATAGCACTTTTTAAATAAAAACGGACAATATGCATATCATGCTGTTTAATTCAAAATACTTCTGAATTATTTTGTTAAATGCATGTAAATCTTGTAGTGAACTGTGTTAATCATTACAGCCATGTTTGGCATTTGATTAATTTTTTTCAAAATAACCATAAACAACGGAAGTCACTTTAACCCAGAAAAAACTCTTCGCAAGTTTAAGCCTTGCATAAAAATCCAAGTTCAAGCAGTGGTATTATTTTACTTGGTCAAAATTAATCCAATGTAAACATAGCTTTAGTGATGATGTGAGCAATGTCAATACATTATGTTAGATTTAATATTTATAAATATCTCCATGGCCATCAACCATACTGGCTGAAAATATTCATTAATGTTTTTTCCTAAAAAAATAATTTTGGTGCTAATAATAATTGACAAACTGGAATCACTGATAATCATACTTTGCTTTTTTTTAATAGTATAAATCTTAAAAATATTTTCAATATATATGATTAAAGTCATGTTTTTTTTTAACATTGTTAAATATTGTATAAATGAGAATATGAAATAAAAAAAATTAAACAGAAAATAGTAATTCTGTTATATTATTTTTGCCGAGGTTGTTCAGAGTACATTGTGGGAAAGATGAGTGATGCGATGTTATGCAATCTTGATTACGGGTTGATTTTCCGTCTCATTGAGGAAAAGTGCACGGAAAACAGAGTCAAAGTAACTTGGTCGGTACTGACAGGCACGATGGCAGTCTGGACAGAAGTTGCACTCCAGTAACTGCGGCTGCATATAACGTTCTCCTAAATGGAAAAATAAAACATAATGTACTGTGTTGAAACGCATTGAAAGCCAGACCTTTTTTTAAGGTTCCTTCCCATGTGCCAAAACAAGTTTACATATACAAACATACTTTTTTGAAATTTAAGCTAGTCATATATCATCAAAATGATGTGTCTAATAAATTGGCGGGAAAATATTAGAGGGATTGAGTGTACTACCGGCAACATAACACAAAACGTCATTTGTACGTTATCGTCCAGGTGTATCTTCCCTGAACTACCAGCCGTGGAGTCTGTGGTTCTACAATGTTTAACAAAGCAGTTATGAATGAATCAGGTATGACCGGAAGTGGCATTTTCAAACTTAATGGCTGACACACTCCCAATCCCCACCTCTGTAGAATAATCAATTGTGGAATTGCTTCCAAATGGAGATAACAATATTAATATATTGTATACATATATTTAAAATACAAGATAAAGACAGTCTACCTTTATCATTTGTTTGCCAGCTTAGCATCAGGTCCAGTGCATACATTGAGCGGGAATATGGACAGTGACCAATAGCATCATATTCTTCTCCAGTTACAGCTGACTGGAAGAATTCTTTGATCAACTGCAGAACTTCCTTTTGAATGTCTGCCCAGGGAAATTTTGGGTATTGCTCATCCCATTCCTTGATAAAGTTCTGCCATGGAAGCTGAGGAATCAAGTAACAGAACATCATAATAACAATGATCTAAATTATGTAAATTAAAAAATGTCAGTATTTACAAAATGATTAGAACAAAAAAGAGTTAACAAGATCAGCTCGTACACTTTTTGAAGACCAAAAATACTTTACCAATCACATGGTACATGATCATACAATATTTTGAACAATGAGAAAGTTTAATATTAATTCATGTTTGCAAATTGGCCATGCACTGGAGTGCTTCGGACCTGTGAATATGCACTCAAGATACATTGAAAAGCATGTAAATAACAGATTTAAAATATGTAGCACTATGGGGTATCGGTACAATAATCAGATATTAAATTCAACTTACATGATGCAGTTTAACCTCATCATCATAATTCATTGTTGTAAAATGCTTTTCATAAACATCAAAGTGATCCAATGAGTAAGGCCTGCAAAACAAATTATAAATTGACACTATTTTTATTCATTATATTTTACGCTCAAATACAGGAAAATATACATACGCACTCAACAAAAACTAAGAAAACACTGCATCCAACACCCATCTACTTCTGCATCACTTCTCAAACATATCCACTCTACAGCCATCAGCCAAACTACCGGTATTTGCCTCACATCTCACCTATCTCCATATGTAACATTGAACAGTTACAAGGTTGCCTTGACGCTACCAATTGGGACATTTTCATTGAATCAGCGAAAGACATAGATGACCTGACCGAAACTGTTTCTTCTTATATTGCATTCTGTGAAGAAATCACTATTCCTTGCAAACAGGTTAAACTCTTTCCTAATGATAAACCTTGGGTTGATTACAATGTTAAGCTTGCTTTTAGAAATAAAAGATCAGCCTTTAATAGCAACAATGAGTCTGAGATAAAAAAAAAAAGCTAGTCTTCAGTTAAAATCTAGTATAAGGAGTAAACGTAGATTCAGAAAGAGGGTTGAAGTTCATTTCAATAATAAAAATTCGCGTAAAACCTGGAAGGATATTAAAATGATCACCGGTTCCAACAATAAGAAAGCTTCATTCCAGATGCTTCCTGGATTTAATGACAAGCCTTGCTGAGTCAAAAGATTTTTGTAATGGCCTTGTATTAAAGGATAATGTTAATATATCTGCCAATGAGGTAATGAAACTTTTTCGTAAAACCAATTCAAGAAAGGCTGCAGGTATCGATAAACTTAGTGGTAAACTTATGAGGGAATGCGCATCGCAATTAGCTTATATATTTCAACATATTTTTCAATACTCTCTAAATTTTTCAGTTGTTCCCTCCATCTGGAAACATACTCTAATTGTACCCTGTCTCTTATACACATCTAGATGTGTATAACGTTTTGATGTTCTTTGATGTTTTGATATTCTATATGTTTTTTATATTAATTGTAGTGTACTAAAGACAATTTTCTGATATACTTTATATTAGACCCAATAAATGCTGTGGATAGCAGCGCATTCATAGATGACATATAGAAATTATTACAATTGTCATCAGAATCCAGAGAAAAAAATGTTTCCCAAGACTGACCCAAAATTTAAAAAAACATAAAGTCTGCAATATTTTTGTTATTTTCTTCTACAAAGGATCACAAATTACTTATCTTAACCAAGGATTTAAGTAATTTTGAAAATGAATTGAATAAATAAATAATTCAAATGAAACTGCTGGAGCAACAATTCAGATTTTTCTTGTTTTTTTTAAATTCTCATCCAATAGCAAGTAACCTGCCACGCCTATTACAAGATGGACAATGCTTATAAATCAAGTCTCTTATTGAGGTCTAGGGAGTGGAGTTGGTTTCAGTTTAGAGAAAAATGTCCTGCTGTCAAAGGAATTGACCCCTGGGATTAGAAGGCAAACATCTTAACCATTAAGCTATACAATTCCCTCTCATTGTATAGCTCCATTTATACCATTAGCACATCTACTTAGTGAAGCAAAACACACCTGTTGGAGAAGCGAACATAGAAGTCCTCGTGCACAAACAAACTTAAGGGCTTTGCCGATATGAACAGAGGCATGTAGCGAAAATCAAACTTAACATGGCCAACGTCCGACCGATAGAATAAAACAGGATCATGAATGTATTCGCATATAACCTGCAATGTAATAATAAAAGTTTAATTGACTGCAACTCTGAATTTCAAATTAATTTAACATGGATTAGGCTTAACACTGAAGGAATTTATACTGCACATTTTGCCAAGGGATACCAGGGATGCCTCAGCAATGGCAAGTTTATTACCTGCACTTGGATGTGATCCATGGGAAAATCCCCTATGAACTCCAACGATATAGGTATTTAACCCTTTGTACAAGTTTACAACTCCTTATTTTAGTTACAATTTACAAAAAAATAATGGTATGGTCTGTTAATTTAAAGATCTGAGTTTTCTAATACTAGAAAACTCAGATCTGAGGTCTAAGTTTTCTATAACTAGAAAACTCAGATCTGATGTTTTCTAGATTTGAGTTCTCTAGATGACACCCGTGTAAAATATCTGGTTTTTAAGAAAATAAAAACTTTTCTCATGAAAAGTTCTTGAATTGCAGGGGTTGCATCCATGACTGCCATCACATCTAAAGCCCTCCAAACTATCAAATTTTTTTTGACAAAAACATGTGACATGCCTAAATATGGTCATGATCATATCACACCATGACCATATATAGGCACATCATGACTATATATGGGCATATAGCAGTTTTTTTTTTGTCAAAGAAAATTTGATAGTCTGGACTGAGCTTAAATTAAATATAATAAATTACCTTTGGCAGTAGCTCAGTCTGACGGATGATACAGTTTATAATTGCAGTGATGTGGCTGTCAAGACCTCTAGCAAAGTTATATGCCTTGCAGATATAGTAATTTGGTTTTCCTCTGTAAATATAAAGTTTTACACACTGGCTAAAATAATATTCACTGATCATGTCGGGTTTTGGTTGAGAGATCTACAGCTATTGTATCCTGGAGATTTTAAAACAGTTTTAATTTAATCATTTAGTTCTTTTACCATGGACATCAACGATTTAGCTAAATACAAATATCCACTATTATTATATCATTTTAACAATGCATAACACAATTCAATGAAATTTTTTGATACAGACGCCAAGCATGTCATAATCTTTTTGAGCTTCTTCGTTGAGTTCAGACCATAAAATTGAAAAAAGGCCAAAAATATTAAATTTATAAATTTTAAAAATTAAATTTTCATTTTCATAAGGTTATTTACTCTTTCTCCTTGGTTTGAAAATATGAGACAAATTGTGGTAATGTGAGGTTGGAATCAAATGTAACAGGAATCCAGTCAGGTCCGTATGGTTGCTGAGTTGAACGCACAGCCACATATGTCAGCATATCTTTGTTAGTTATCAGCGATTCACAAGGAAACTGGTTAACAAACTGGCCTTTCTCAACAGGATCACTGAAATTGCAATGAGTCCATAGCAATGTTAAAGGAAAATAACAAAATACTTGACTTAAACGGTACTTGCTATACTAATAACAGTATGGTAGTGAGAACCCATTGGCCACTTTGATGAAACAAAATAGATAAATATCCCCACCCTTACTGAAAAAGAAGCCACTAAAAAATATGTGGATCATCTGTTTTTATCATTCCCATCATATTATAATGTATAGAGTACTACAGTGTTACGTCACGATACCACGTGATACTACTCCATTGCTATTGGCGACACAAAATGCGTTCAACCTATGCCATTTGCTCCGCTGACAAACTATTGATCCCAATTTCTAAGGTAATTATTAAGAAGTATCTTAATTTTTCTTTGTAAATTTTAATTGATGATTAAATGTGTGTTCGATAACTAATATAATGCGAGCTTTTCGTGTCTTTAGTACATTTTGATGGTAAATTATTAGGTTTTAAAATGCCTATTCTAAACCATTAAGATTATGAAGTCATTCGGGCGTAATGAATGGTAACCAACGTCCCGAGGGCGCCACCTGGTGTTGTGACGACACGACTGTGGTATTCTATGTGATCAACAATATGTTGAATTATGTAGGTGTGGTCTAGGATTCCACTGGGTCAAGAGGTAGATCACAAGTGAGGTCAAAGGGCAGAGTACAAAAGAGGTCTTGTATGCATTAAAAAGTTACAGTCACATAGGTATTTAAATATATCTAAGTTAAATGACTATTCGTCCAAAATGGATAAAATTTTGTATTACTCTATTTACCTATTTTCTTACCCTAGTGATTTGGGTCATCAAAAGGCCTGTGTCTGGGGCCCTTGGACACTTGACCTAGCTGTCCCCTATTGACACTACTTCCAAAGCCACTGGCTAGTACAACATACTTAAATTTTATCATTAATTTTGAGAAATTAATTAGTGCATTGATGAGGTGTATTACTTAAAATCTTTAATTGTACTATCAAGCCAAAGAATATCAGCTTCATTGCGATCTTCAACTATTTCAAATTTTGGATCCTTCAAGTACAGGAATATATGTTCAGAGTCTGTATAAACTTTGTACACATTCTTTGGGGGTAGTTTAACTGATGCAGTTTCCTCCTGTGCAAATACTCTTGGTTGTTTCTCATTGCAAACTGCTTTCAGTAATTCTTTACTTAGTACCACCCTTGTAGTAGGATCAATAGATGTAAAATCTTGATGTTTCCATGGCAATAAACTAAACGGACGAAGCATTTTGTTTTTTTGATGTGGAATGTAATCTCTTGTTACTTCATCTGTAAATTCAATAAGTAAATATGGATATTAGATAAAAATTATGATTTATAATAGTTTTTTTTTCTATTTTTCAAATTTTATATACACCAAAATCCTAAACTACTACTAAAATAATAAGGGCTACTACATTTGAAACTTCCTGATTTTCACTTTCTCTTTCAGAATATTACTAAGTATCCTTTTAGTTTTGAGTATTTCATGGCTTATAATGCACTTGTCAATTGTAATCCTGGATCCACCAGATTTGGGTCTAGTGGAATGTATTTTTTGTACATGTACAAGTCCCAGTCATAGCCCAGCTACTCCCAGCCATTTTCAGTCCAATTACATCCCCGGGTCAGTCCAAGATACATCCTGGCATGGGAATACAATTGAAAAGTGCATAAATCAAATACATATAATATTGGCCTACTACTGTTGGCTAAATAAAAGATACACTTTTTCTTACGTCAAAGACAAAGAAAGCTAAGTATTGTACTTTACCTCCATAGTCAAGACTTTTAGTAAGAATCAACAAAGTGAACATCATTCCTGTAGGAGCATAATGGAATGGTACAATCCTGCAAGTAGGTTCTTCTGAGTGACGTATCCTGGTACCAAATTCATCCATTATGTACCAAATTGGTTCCCGTTCTTCTCCAGATGCTTCCTAAAGTGAGTTAGATTTCAATAAATGGTGAAAAGTCGGAGGTATTTACATTGAGGTGATGGCTTTAAAATGATCGGGGATCAATCAATAAAGGGCATCTACAGTAAAACCACATACACAGAATATACTCCCAAAAAGGAGGTATTGTAGATTAGCATAGCAATATATTCTTCAAACCTTATCAATCCTATTACCTTGTTAGCCAAGCAATATGTGAGGTTAAACTTCCACATCTCTTCCAGAACCATCTCAATGTTGCTGTCTTTATTTTCAGTTGGAACAATATCCATTAAACTGATCATACGATCCAACAATCCTGGTATTTGCTCCAAGTTCTTTCTCGCAGTTTTTTTCCGATAGGTCCAAGCATGATCCACAAGGTACACACTTTAAAATAAATCATGTCTCTATTAAATTGTTTTGAATCCAATAACCCACCCTTCTGCTGTGGGTCATCCCAGGGAAGTACAGTATTGAATAACTTGCTGCATAAAATAAATCAGCGCTTCATGCATTCAACCAATGGCTATTAGGTAACCAATTCTGGGTGGAGCAATATAGCTTGGATAAAGTCCCATATCTAAAAGTGACTTACACAGAAATGTTTTAAGCCCTGACCACAATAATTTCCATGGTTTACTTTATAGGCTTAGAAACTGCATTATTATAAGCTATGTTGAATTTGCTAGTAGCCTACCTCGGTATTCAATCCCTGGCCCGTGGGCCAACTCCGCTTGGAACTGGCCACCAGCTTAAAAAGTTTGAATATCCAGGTGCTAGTATATAAATACTCACAAAGACATGGAGTGAATCTATGTTAATACTACAGTATCTTTCCTATCAGATATTAGGTTTTGTAACAGATTAATGAATCAAATACATAATTAATTAGTAAAAGTGAATACCAAATACTCCTTACCCATTGTGGTCAAGTTCTTCAAGGCCTTCTTCCTTGCTAACCACCACACGTAGCCCACCGCTACCACCACACAGTTTTAGATCAGTACAATCATCATCTCCTTCACCATTTTCTGTATCATCATCATTTACATGTGTTAACATGAATACATCTCCAGCATCATAAACCTTAAATACAAAGAGGTAACTTCGCTGTAGTACTGTATGTACCAATAAACAAAAAATGATCCTCCACCTGGACAGTTGCAAATCCAGGGGTTGGAGAAAGTGGTGCTCACCCTCCCAGCAACAGCCAAAAAAAATCACTAACCAAGTGTGAAAAATTATTTCACATGTTTTTGTCAAATAAAATAGTCTGGGCAGGACTTAAAACATTTAAATTATTGGTAGAATTGCATCAACAATGAACAGAAAATGATTACATTTCAAAAATTAATTATGAATACACAATAAAATATTTTTCACATCATCATTTTATCTTTTCATAAAAGAGTACATATATGTATGCCTACACATTCAACCCCCATAAAGTCGGACCAAAAATTAAAAAAAAACGAGGCCTAGTTTTCCCATCCCAGCCATTTCCGGCCATCTCTAGAAGTCCCAGGTTTTTTTGTTTTGTTTTTTTTTTCAATCTAGTTTTGGGAGGAGGGGACACCCCCTCCCATACCCCAGCTCCGGCCCTCAGATAACACTACACGCTATAGTTACACCCATAAATACTACACCAGTCGGACACCTTAGCCCCCACCCATAAATTATATCCTAGTCTAGAGCAGCCACTACACAGTTGGGCTAAGCCTAGCTAGGCTCTAGTTTAGTAGGCCTAATAAAGCTTACCTCATTTTCAAGCTTATGGTGTAGTTTTCGCCATAAATAGGAAGATATTTCATTTGACATTAATTGAGCATAGTGACATTCTACGAAAGAACGAAATGCTTCACTTCCATCTTCAAAACCTTCATAAATCACACCATCAAGCCCCTGAGACATTTTTATGTTTACAGTTTTATGTTTACAATTTCTACTCCACGTGCGCCCACCACCAACGAGAAAGAGAGAGAGAGAGAATGGGTCGGAGCTGGGAGAGGGAAGACAGAGAATACGACGGGCGATTCCATTATTTCATTGAGGGTATGACGTAGTTTCGCCTATCATAATATACACGACCTGCGTATTTTCGTCTGAACTATGTTTGATACGATTTATATAATCATGTCCTATAATATTAAGCATTGTTTTATTACCTATTTGATTTATTTCTATACAGGCCTATATATACATATATTTATAAAATATATATAATAAAAATTCTTATATAT